ACTTAATGTACTTCTTGCATAGTATCTGGTACATAGTAAGTGTTTAACAGAGTTGTTACTGCTATTAAGTAAAGGTTTATTTTCATACATTGATCGAGCAGTATGGTAAAACAGAAGTGTATTCAGAGAATGCGGTCATTCAAAAATTAACAAAGACAGCAAAACTGGGATGGAGCAGTCGAGAAAGGCTTTCCAGGAGGAGATAGTCAGAATGGACACACAGGATCTCTCCTAGCCTCCTGACAAGGAACTAGCCCTTTGGCAAAAAAAGGAGAAGAGAACATTCCAGAACGCTAAAATAAATGTGAAATGCTGTGCTGGAAGTGAATCAGACAAAAGTAAAGATTAGAAAGAGAATGCTCCTTTATTAGTACACGAGTTACCAAGGAAGGGAAGCCAGGTACACTAGTTTGTATTGTGCGGTATATTAAAATGTAATCGAATTTATACTTCCCCTTTTAACACTTCTGGCAACTCTATATTTCAAAATAAGAAAAATAATTCTTAATAAAATCATATCTGCTAACAGCATGTTTCAGATTGCCAAATAAGTAAATAAGGAAAAAACTATGTTCATTTTCCTCCATTATTTTAAGGCTTCTGGGTAGTATTTGTGTTGAGAAACAACTTATAACTCAGTTCATTATTCTTATTACAGAAAATACAGTCTTCCTTTCAACTCAAGAAATACATACTGACTACACACATCACAACAGCTACACTCTGTAGAAGAAAAAAAATGAAGATTAATAGCATCTCAGGAACTTAGACTCTAGGAAGGAAATTCAGGCCCATACCAGTATACATACACTACCACTTTACAGAATAGAGAACAGAAGTGCCTCTAGGGATGTACAACACTCTAAGGAGATTCAAGGATAGAGCAAGATTAGCGGAAAACCAGTAGAGACAGACTACCCTACGAGGTGTTAGAAGGGACTTACAAGGATCAACAATAGCCTTTTAGCAGGGAGATGACATTTACTGGGAAAAGGAGAGGAGGCAGCTTCAGGAGGAAGGAACATCAAGTGATCTAATGCTGGATGCAGCACAAGGCGTATAAGAGTGAAAAACAGGTTGGGAAGGTTGGCAGTTCACTGGGCAGATCTTTTGAGTGAGAATTCTGGACCCCACACCATTTTATACGACACAGCAGTTCTTGGATTTACAACTATGGAAGTAACACTAAAAAGAGCTACAACAGATTTCTTTTGTCTTTTACTGAATTCTCACAAAGAAGTCAATGCCACATTCTAGATCAGCGGTTGCCAACTGGTGGTCCGCGAGGCCCGAAAGGTTGGCGACCGCTGTTCTAGATCACTCAAACTTATCCTAAGTAATATTAAGACTCACCCCAGGTTATCCTCACTCATGAAAAAAATCAGGAAGGATGAATAATTTGATGTAAGGTAAGTAGCAGGGAGATTTGTGTTAGGGCCACACAAATGCATCCTAAGGATAATCTGATAAAAGAGAGATGCTCAAGTCCCATTCCCTAAATCAGTCTGACCAATAACTGTGTTGAATCTGTATTTCTTATAAGCATGACTCACTCACAGATGGTCCTTGTTTTGAAAATACTGCCCTACAGCGAGGTTCCCGGCATGGCACCAGGACAGCGGGGCAGTATGAACAGGTTCCATCACAGAAGATTATATCCAGATACCTTGGATCTAGGGATTCTTGAGGTGAGACCTAGGCAAGCATAGCAACTCTGTGGCTATCATATCAAAAGTCCCCAAACTCCAATTTTTATACCATTCCAGTTAGTCATTTCTTGAATTATAATCATGTAGAGAAAACAGCCAAGTCTCCTTCCATACTAGAATTCTAAGCTCAAGAAATTCCTGAGAAAATGACTCAAATTTCTGAAGGATAAAAGAATTACTAGCAGAAATCATTACACTCAAGTAATACTGCAGGCAGGTGAAAAGAAAAGGATCAGTTTGCTGGCAGGAGTCAAACCACGGGAAATATCAATGGATGTTTTTAGTCTAAGGATTAAATATAAGTTACAGCAATTATCATCAAAATAAATATTCATTTAAAAAATGCCACTCACTGGCATTTATATATTTGCTTACAATAATTTTTAACAGATATCCCTAATTTGAGTGTACACTCCTTGACACCATTTCTTGTACTTCTTTGTACTCCAGTGCTGTATATCACAGAGGCACTCAATAAAACTGGCATTAGAATATTTTTCTAAGTTAAATATCTCTATAGAAATAGCTAAAATATGCCCTGACTGGTTTGGCTCAGTGGATAGAGCATCAGCCTGCGGACTGAAGGGTCCCAGGTTCGATTCCAGTCAAGGGCATATACCTTGGTTGCGGGCACATCACCAGTAGGGGGTGTGCAGGAGGCAGCTGATAGATGTTTCTCTCTCTCATTGATGTTTCTCTCTATCCTTCTCCCTTCCTCTCTGTAAAAAATCAATAAAATATATTTTTTAAAAAAGAAATAGCTAAAATAAAAGTTTGTTAGGGAAAACTGAGTAAAGCTTAAGAATCTGTACTTCCCTTGAAAAGTACAACTTTTCTCACGTCCACATGGCTTGCTCCCTCACACCTTTCACAACCATACTCACTGTGAGTGAAAGACTGTTGGTTAGAGAATTCCAAGAACATACATATAGTATTTTTTATATCAGAGCAGGCTTTGCAGCACATTTTATAAATATTTAGCTCTGAATTTTGCAAAGTGGTGGAGTAGGAGGCAGTTTTCCAAAGCTTCAATCCAAAATAAAATTAATCTGTCATACTGACTGCCTTTACTATGTTGTCATATGGAAACATTTAAAACCATTTCAACAAAGGATTATAAGGGGAGGAAGTCATTGAGGCTTTCCTAAGCCACTCTATCACCCCATCTCCATCACTGATTTTCAACATTTTATCCCCCTTCCCTGCATTTTCCTCCTTACACTTTTGACGTAATATTTTACTCATTTGTAATATGTGTCAGGCTTCCACTAACATACAAATTCTTATTTTGTTCACTGCTGTACTTTCTTGTCTGGAGCAGTATCTGGTGCTTAATAGATGCCCAATTGTCACCTGGTAAATGAATGGATGAAAGACCCAATCAAGCAATAAAAACCAAGAATGGGTAACTGGAAAGTCTCTTATTTTAAACAACGAAATTATTCCTATCCCTGAGGAAATAATTAAAACAGCTTTTACAGTAGGACACAAAGTGCTCAGTTCATTCACTGAAAATGCTCTGTAAAATTCCTTCCGGTTGTCAGGCAATACTTGGTCGGACTGACTTCTTCCTTTTCATTACCAATTGTTTTCTTTCAGCGAATATGACACAGGGTACTTCTGAATTCCACCAGCAACTCAGCAACAGGAATTGCAGGAACCAGGAAGTGTGGGAACATGTCATCTGGTTAGCAGGCAGTCACCAAGTGAAACTAGTTAGCTCTACATTTTCCTTTCCTACTAAAGGTACAGGGCCCTGGATTTAAAGCAATCACCTGGATATAGGGATTCGCTTCTAAGTCAATTCGCCACCTTGCTTAAAGGCTTTAACTAACTTCTGTTTGTTTCGCTTATGTTGCTCCGCTGGCAATGTGTCCATCCGCTGTGCTGCTCTGAGCAGAGCCTGCATGGCCGCTAGCATCTCGGGATTTCTATGCCTCTGCAGAGCTCCTCGGCAAGGGCCACGGAATGCCAGCCCCTGAGTATACTCAACTTCACCCTACAGGGCAAATCGCCAGTGATGGCAGACTATCTAGTCCCCGTGCTACTTTCCGGCAGCAAGAAATGGTATAGGTCAAAGATTACTCAAATACCCTGTAAAGTTGGTCAGACCTCAACCCACCCTTTCTGGGGGGAAAAAAACTCCACAAAAAACCAACAACTAAAACACAACCACAACACCCACACTTAAACCTGGCCTTAAAATCTTGATTTTAAAGATTAAAAGCAAGTTGTAGCTTCTGTGAAATTTCTTGAACAGAGAATGAAAGTGGTAGTTCAAGTTACTAAACAAAGAATAAAGCATCAGTTTGTCCTTCATCTCAACACTCACTCCTACAAATCTTCATCTTTCACCAAATCTGTATCTCTAAGGAAAGTCCACTGTTGGCAGGATTCGACTGAAACGCAAACCTGACCCTCAAGCGTTCCTCCCCCTCGCCGCCTCCTCGGCCTCCCCGGCTGCGCTCCCACCGCCTCTCCCCCTGCACACGTCCCCCCGCTCCTCCTGGGAGCTCCTGACCCCCGACGTTTCATCGGAGCCCCTGGCACTCAGGTGGCCACGCGTCTCCTCGAGGGTCCACGGAATGAAGCGTGCGGTTCCCAGGATCAGGCCCGGCCCGACGCCCGAGGTGTGCGGCCGCCTGGTCGTGGGGATGGCGGACACTCCCTCAATGGGAACGCCGGAGGACAGCGGCTGTGTCCGGTGCAGCGCTGGCCCCCGAGGCCCCGGGCCCCACCCCCGGACCCGTGAGCGCTCGCTCCCCTGCCCACGCCGCCTCCCCGGGGCTCAGTCCGCATCCCCAGCCGCTCAGGGGAAGCCCGAACCCCCGCCGCCGGGCCGCGCCGTCGGATCGGGGCCTCGAACCTCCCTCCGGAAAACACACTGACTGTCACCAAAGGGCAGCCGTGCGGGAGAGTAACAGAAACGCCAACCCCTGCACTGCTGCCCGTGGGACTGTAGGCAAATCAGTGCACGTCCCTGACCCTCGGCCCCCTCGCTGGCGAAACATGGCATACAAACGCCACTCGCCTTACCCGGGGCATTATGAAGAAGAAGGCATGTTTTTCTAAATGCACCCACATCTATGGAGCCGAATTCGGGGACTCGGTAGGTGTTCGCTAAAGCTTGCTCTCTCCCTTCCTCGAAAGCATGTGACACTGAACGGTGCGCTCCGGGGCCGCGGAGGCGAGCCGGCAGGGCTGCGGCGAGCGGGGTGCCCGCGTCCCCCAGCCGGAGGCGGGGTCCCCGCCGTCGGAGGCGCCCCGCCCCCGCCCCGCGCCGCGCCTCACCTTGGTGGTCGTAGACGCTGATGTAGGAGATGCCCACGGCCATACACCACACCACGAGGCTCGCGATGTCCGAGAAGCTGGTCTCCGGCTCCTCCTCGGTGATCACCAGGCCCATGTGCACCGGCAGCTTCTCCAGGGACCGGCCGTCCGCGCGCCAGCGCAGCCGAGGGTGGGGGCCGCCCGGGCCGGGCCCCCCGCGCGGGTGCCGGTGCGGCCGGCGGTTCCTGCCCGCGGCCGGGGGCTTGCGGAGCGTGAAACCCAGCGGCGCTAGGACCGCGGCGGAGGCGGCGCGGCAGCAGCGCCGCCAGATCCAGTTCCAGGTGCCGAACCGAACGCGGAGCCAGTAGGTGAGCGTGCGGTGCAGGCAGAGCAGAGCGTGCAGCACCCGCCACACCAGCTCGTACAGCCCCGTCATACTCTCCGGGCGCCCGGCCGTCCTCCCCTCCCTCCCTCCCTCCCACACCCTCGGGGCCGCGGCTCCTTATCTACCTCTGCGGGCGGCGCGAGCCATCGCTCCGCGTGCCCCGTCCCCCGCGCCCGAATCCCTTTCTACTGCCAGCACCTCACCTCGCCCCCGCCGCCATCTTCCTCCGGCCTTGGCAGCCCCACCCCCGCTAGCACATACTCAGTTCTGATTGGTCGGCGTGGAACTCTGACGTGGCTTCTTGGGTTAGAGGATGTGGCCTAGCCCCGCTCGGCGAGGGAGAACGCGCTCCTGGGAACTAGGTGGGCCGGCTTCTGAATGCGCCCCCTGGTGGTTTGGAGGTTTAGAAGCGGACGCCACTGGTACTTAGGCGCCGGACCCAGAAAGATGCCCGTCGTCATGGCAGGAATGGGTGATTGCAGGGACGTAGTGTTCCTTGGGTCCTGGGCATCTTATACCGTCTGTTTCCTCTCATGGTCCCTCTAGAAACTGTTTTTAAGCAGTAAAAGTCGTCCGAGTGGATTGGGAATTACAATAGCCAGAAGGAAACTAGGGGTAGAAAGTATCCCTCAGTAAGTGTTGATGCTGGAACCAACCAGGGTCCCCTAAAGGAAGTGTCTGTAGAGGTGGGAGCGTGCCCCTCAGAGAGGTCCTGCCACTGCTCTTTGATCAAACCTTCTAGCTAGACTGATTCTACCGAGAGTGAGAACGGGAACGCTTAGTCATGCTCCTGAAACATAGTTCAGCCCATATCATTCCCCTCTAAAGGGAAGCCTTTGCTCAGTACGTAAGAGAGGTTCCACCCCTGGCAGTCCAATCACTTCCTTCCTTCCTTCATTCATTCATTCATTCAGCAATCCGCTACTGACTCCCAGCACCACTGACCTCGGTCACCACTACTATTGGATGTAAACGTCCATCCAGTCTTATCCCCTTCGCAGAGCCTCGTGTCCAGTCATCCGGGCTGCGAAGTGGCCCTCCGGACCAGTTGGGTCCTTCCCTGCAGCAGCTCTGTGCCATTTTTGCTCTCTTTGTGCAATCCCTTCCCTTCACCGAATCCCTGAATCCCAACTCAGTATTGCCCAAATCCCAACCCATTTCTCAAGGCTCATTCTTCAGTGGAACTTCCCTTGATCCCCTCTCTCCCTTCTTGTAAATCTCATGGTGACTCATAAGTTTCATGGCTCTACTTATAGCACTTCCCACTTTCATATATATGTGGGTCTGTATATGTAACATTTATACATATGTATTGTATTTTTATATGCTATATATTGGATTATATGTTTTCTCTATACATAGGCATGTGATATATAAATGAAATAAAACAATGCTGTTTTAGGAATACCTTACCTAATCTTTGTTCTCTCGCCTCCTTTTCCTATTGGGAAATATCCGTCAACATCTTGGCTTTGTGCCTTAATGTTTCAGGCACTGACACTGTTTCAACTAGTCTTATTTCCATTTCAAAGACTCACTTCACAATGGGGTGGTGAGGGTCTGGGGCGGGGAGGGGAGGGGGGGTTGGGGGGGTGCGAGAGTGGCTGGGTTAATGGGGGGGGGGAAGGAGGACCTAGGTAATACAACAATAAAGATTAAACATTAATTAATTTTTTAAACAGACTCACTTCACTCTATTTTAAAACTTGAATCTCATGTCTATCTCAAAGTTTTCCTCCCTTTGGTAGCTCAGCCTGAGGAGGTGAAGTACGGGTCTCTGGCTGCTCTGCGCCTGCTCTTCTGATGACGGACAAAGAAGGGGAGAGGGGGAAGGTGAAGACCCGGAAAGCCTGCAGGAGCCTTCCTCCTCGCTGGCCAGTTATGTTCATCAGGATGCTTGCTAAGGAAGCTCCAGGGCACCGCCGTCCCAGTGAAATTTCCTACATTTTCCACAGGAAGCCCCTTCCCAGTATTGACACCTTGTCACATTGCTCTGATGTACTCACCTCTTTTTCCCCATGTTTGCCACTTCTGGCAACATTAGAACCATCAATCTCATCTCTCATAGCCAATTCTCAGGTATGCAGACTCAGGCAGGCTGCAACTTTTGTACTTCTCTGAATTCATAAATTTAAGCAAAGGGGATCTTTCCCCCCACCACCCCCACCACCTCCAACATGCATATTCTGGCATCTCTCCGCAATTGCTTGGTTTTGTTTCTATTAGACTAGCCAGTGGTAGGTTGACAGGTATCCATGCGTAAGGATGTTGGTCTCCAAAAGAAGTTATGGAGAGAACTTTGACACCTTTCAGTAGGGTAGGGATGGAGGTACCTGGTAGTTGCCCCTATTATGGGCAGCTTCTCTGCAATTAGGAGGTAATTCGAAGTCTTGTTTTTAGCCACAATTCTGGGACAAGAAAACTAACTGCATATTATGCATATACATTCAATCCAATGTTCATGAAATTCTCTCTTTTTCAATAATTATTTATATTGTCATTTTCAAAAAAGGAAGTGAATATGTCACTTTTAAAAAACCTTGGGAGTTCAGGATAAAAACCTTGAATTACTTAGATATATCTAAACTCCCACCTCCACTACCCCCAAGTTCGACCAGGACATAAAAATGCAGAAAGAGTCCCCACAGCCTCAGAAAGATGGTATTTATAGCATGCCTAATGTTTATAGGACCAAAAGCCCCAAACGCCAGCTTATATACCATCCCAATTATGGCCATTTCTTAAGGTATAATAATGTAGACAAAATAGTCCAATATGCCTACTAGAATTCTGAGAAAAAGAAATTCCCAAGAAAACAATGCTAATTTCTGACATGTGAAAAAATAGTGTCAGAAATTACTATCAACAAGAAATATTACGGAGAACCAAGATGGCGGCATAGGTAAACGCCGGAGAATGCTGCCTCGCACAACCACTTCAAAAATACAACTAAAAGACGGAACGGACATCAACCAGAACCACAGGAAAGCTGGCTGAGGGGAAATTCTTCAACTAGAAGGAAAGAGAACAGCATACCGGGACTCAGAGGAGGCGCAGTGCGGAAAATTCAAAGGTGCGGAGGTGTGCACGGAGCGGGCTGGTGGCTGAGGGCCCGGTTGTCGTTTTCAATCGGGAGGGAGTCTCAGGCCCTGAGCTCCAGTTCTGGGTGAGTCTCTAGGGACCCAGACTCAAACGGGAGAAGCGGGACTGTCTGGCATCGGTCAGAACACGAGGGCAGCTTTCTCTCCGAGGTTTGCAGCAGTTGCAGGGACTCTGAGAGGCAGAGCCTCTGGGGACGGGACTGAGAGCAGCCATAACTGCTCGCTCCGGCCCGCCCTGTTTGATCCCGTGCGACCCGCCCCACCCAAGCCCTGCACAGAGCCATTTTCCGGATAGCCTCAGGCAAAGGCTAGATTAGCACCTCCCCAGAGGACAAAAGCTCTCCCACTGCAGACACAGCTGATTCTCACAGCCAGTTGGCCTGGAGGTCAAATCCCCCCAGTATTAACTACAACAATCAAGGCTTAACTACAAGACTGCGCACAAAGACCACTAGGGAGTGCACCAAGAAAGCATAAAAAAAATGCAGAGACAAAGAAACAGGACAAAATTGTCAATGGAGGATATAGAGTTCAGAACCACACTTTTTTTTTAAAAAATCTTTATTGTTCAGATTATTACATTTGTTCCTCTTTCCCCCCCCCATAACTCCCCTCCTCCCAGTTCCCGCCCCACCCTCCGCCCTCACTCCCCACCCACTGTCCTCATCCATAGGTGCACGATTTTTGTCCAGTCTCTTCCCGCATCTCCCACACCCCTTTCCTCCCCAAGAATAGTCAGTCCATTCCCTTTCTATGTCCCTGATTCTATTATAATCACCAGTTCATTCTGTTCATCAGATTATTTATTCACTTGATTCTTAGATTCACTTGTTGATAGATGCATATTTGTTGTTCATAATTTGTATCTTTACCTTTTTCTTCTTCTTCCTCTTCTTAAAGGATACCTTTCAGCATTTCATATAATCCTGGTTTGGTGGTGATGAACTCCTTTAGCTTTTCCTTATCTGTGAAGCTCTTTATCTGACCTTCAATTCTGAATGATAGCTTTGCTGGATAAAGTAATCTTGGTTGTAGGTTCTTGGCATTCATCACTTTGAATATTTCTTGCCACTCCCTTCTGGCCTGCAAAGTTTCTGTTGAGAAATCAGCTGACAGTCGTATGGGTATTCCCTTGTAGGTAACTGAGTTTCTTTCTCTTGCTGTTTTTAAGATTCTCTCTTTATCTTTTGCTCTTGGCATTTTAATTATGATGTGTCTTGGTGTGGTCCTCTTTGGATTCCTTTTGTTTGGGGTTCTCCGCGCTTCTTGCACCTGTAAGTCCATTTCTTTCACCAGGTGGGGGAAGTTTTCTGTCATTATTTCTTCAAATAGGTTTTCAATATCTTGCTCTCTCTCATCTTCTGGCACCCCTATAATTCTGATGTTGGTACGCTTGAAGCTGTCCCAGAGGCTCCTTACACTATCCTCGCATTTTTGGATTCTTTTTTCATTTTGCTTTTCCGGTTGGGTGTTTTTTGCTTCTTCGCATTTCAAATCATTGACTTGATTCTTGCGCTCCTCTGGTCTGCTGTCGGGAGTCTGTATAATATTCGTTATTTCAGTCCGTGTATGCTTAATTTCTAGTTGGTTCCCCAATATAACATCGAGGGTCTCATTAGTTTTCTTGTAGATCTCATTAAGTTTATCGGCGGCTTCTAAACAGTTCTTGAGAGACCTTAAAAGTGTGGTTCTGAACTCTATATCTTCCATTGACAATTTTGTCCTGTTTCTTTGTCTCCGTATTTTGTTATGCTTTCTTGGTGCACCCCCTAGTGGTCTTTGTTCGCAGTCTTATAGTTAAACCTTGATTGTTGTAGCTAATACCAGGGAGGGTTTGACCTCCAGGCCAAGTGGCTATGAGAATCAGCTGTGTCAGCAGTGAGAGAACTTCTGTCCTCTAGGGAGGTGCTAATCTAGCCTTTGCCTGAGGCTATCCGGCAAATGCCTCTATGCAGGGCTTGGGCGGGTGGGTCTCACGGGATCAACAG